GAGCGAGTCTCGCTCTGTCGGCCCAGGCTGGAGTGCAAGTGGCCGGATGCTCGGCTCATGGCAAGCTCCGCGCTCACCCGGATTTACGCATTCTCCTGCCTCAGCCTCCTTGAGTAGCTGGGAACTAACAGGCGGCGCCGCCACCTCGCCCGGCTAGTTTTTTTGTATTTTTTAGATAAGAGACGGGGTTTCACTGTTTACGCCAGGATGGTCTCGATCTGCCTGCACCTCGTGATCACGCCCGTCTCGGTCCCTCCCAAAGTGCGGCTGGGATTACACAGGCTTGAGCCACCGCGCCCCGCTTGCTAGTTTTGAGAAAATATCTTCTTTAGGTTTCTTAGCGAGCCTAACAGATTATTCTCATTTCTGTAGAGCCTAGATATGTGCTGTTTTTGCACTCAATCTTTTTAAATAATTTTGATCTTTTATTATTCTCCAGTTTCTCAAGTCATAAATCATCTGCCACACTGCTATGCAAGTCACCGTTCCGAAATGTAGTTCTAAGTATGTGGCCATTGTTTAAAAAAAACTCACAAATGTTCCCTGTACTGCCACCTCTCACTGAATCAGTTCAAATTACTTAGTTCTGTCAGACAAATTTAGCTCCTCCATAAAGATTGAGTGCAAAAAACAGACATATCTAGTTCTACAGAAATTGAGAATAATCTGTTAGGCTGATAAGAAAACCTAAAGAAGATATTTTCTTCAAAACTAGCAAGGCCGGGCGCGGTGGCTCAAGCCTGTAATCCCAGCACTTTGGGAGGCCGAGACGGGCGGATCACGAGGTCAGGAGATCGAGACCATTCTGGCCAACACAGTGAAACCCCATCTCTACTAAACATTCAAAAAAAATAACTAGCTGGGCGTGGTGGCGGGTGGCCTGTACTCCCAGCTACTCAGGAGGCTGAGGCAGGAGAATGGCGTAAATCCGGGAGGCGGAGCTTGCAGTGAGCCAATCGCCCCACTGCATTCCAGCCTGGGCAACAGGGCAAGACTCCGTCTCAAAAAAAAAAATAAAATTAGACACATACATAGAGGTAATTATGGAAGTCTCAATATTTTGTCTTTATCTCATTCAATCCTCAAAAATGGCTGATGAGTACACTGTCCCAGTCCCCTTTTATAAAGCAATGTACAGAACTTTTACACTAAATGTAAAACCTTGATTTTGCAACAATTTTACACCTCCAGGGTTTTTCCTGAAGTTGTTTCCTTTCTGATCCACAACAGCAAAACATGTAGCCAAATAGCTATTCTGACTCTTTTCCCATCCTCATTAAATTCCTTACAAAATATGGTAAGCATAATTTTTCACATGACTATTTTCATATCATCTCAATTCCTTCAAAAACAAAAATCCAGTTCAAAGTTTATTTTCCTTAAAGCTTCACAAAAAGACTACTGGTATGTCTCACTCAACTTATTAATGACCCCTTCTTGCAGAGACTGAAAGATTTATTTAAAGTTATTTACTTTTTTTCTCTAATCCAATATTACTGGTAAAAAAAAAAAAAAAAAAAAGTTATTTACATCAACTATCTGGATATCACATTTTGAAAAGGAGACTGACAAGCACCCATAAACTACCATAACTATCTCCATGCTCCAGTTTCTCAAGTCATAAATCATCTGCCACACTGCTATGCAAGTCACCGTTCCGAAATGTAGTTCTAAGTATGTGGCCATTGTTTAAAAAAACTCACAAATGTTCCCTGTACTGCCACCTCTCACTGAATCAGTTCAAATTACTTAGTTCTGTCAGACAAATTTAGCTCCTCCATAATTTAGACCCAACCTTTTTGCCTCAGTTTTTGACACATACCTCATACACCCTAGGGGCAATCATACTGATGAGAATCTGCAGTCCCAAAAAGTGCTGAGCTATTTTATATATAATTCTATATGTTATTTTTACCTGTCCTGTCATCAGAGTCATTCTAACCCAAGCCCTCTTCATTAGTAAAATAATAAGCTTTCATGTTTCATCTACTGTAAAGTTCCTAACTTCCTATCTCAAAGTTAATCACTCCTTCCTCAGTGGTACTGATGCATCTCATATCCTCTTTTATAACACTAATCAGGTAATATTGTAAGCATTGATATTATAGGACTCCCTTATGTGAAACTTTTTAAATAAAATGTTCTGTTTACCTAATTTCCTATGTGCCTAGTGCCTAGTATACATAGAGGACTCACAATAATTTGCTGAATGAATAAATAGTAAGAAAATTCCAGACTAATTCGTAAGAACTAAAAAGGGTTCTGCAGCAATCTTAAATGTCTGAAGGGTAATCAATGAATTGAATTGTTTTTTGTGGCTCTAAGGGGGAAACTGGGACTATGAACATTACGATGAACCACACTGTACTTCAACACAGAACCTTCTAACAACACAACTAATACCCTCAATAGGCTCTGTTGAGAAAACTGAGCTCCAAATTGGTAAAAGAATTCAAGCATGACTAAATAACATGTATCAGATGTCTAAACCTTCTGAGAATAAAAAGGCATACACTTAGCTGTATGGTAGCTGCTGGTGCTTTGCTTTGACATTTTGCTCATGTCTAACCTAGAAGTACATCCTGAACTGACGATATGCATGATAGAACCTTTCTTCCAGTTGCACAGGTGAAACCTGGATCCTGACCAAGGTAATTGTATTTTTTTCCCTACACAGTGTTATGTTTCTATTAAATGGACAACTAAATCAAAAGATTACGTTTCAGTGGTGTTGTAGAAGAGCAATACAATCTTATCTACTCATTAAAATAAGTGGCTAGTTATTATTTTTCTCAAGAAAATTTTATAGTGGTTATTTCCTAAAATTTTCCCTTCATGCAGTAGAGTTCTCAGCTGTGTTATTTGTACACCCACCCAGTTTTGAAAGTTAATCCTTATCCTAGCATTCTTGACAGTATTACTGTGCTTCTGAGAGTATATCACAAAGATGGGCATTATCCTCCAGTTATTTGTTCAATTAGTGTGCTAGTTACCTTATATAATAATTACCTATCAAAAGTGTTATTGTTTTTTTGTTTTTTGTTTTTTGTTTTTTTTCTGAGACAGAGTCTTACTCTGTCGCCCAGGCTGAAGTGCAGTGGCACGATCTCGGCTCACTGCAAGCTCGGCCTCCTGGGTTCACACTATTCTCCCGTCTCAGCCTTTCCAGTAGCTGGGACTACAGGCACTCGCCATTACGCTCGCCTAATTTTTTTGTATTTTTACTAGAGACGGAGTTTCACCGTGTTAGCCAGGATGCTCTTGATCTCCTGACCTCGTGATCCTTCCGCCTAAGCCTCCCAAAGTGCTGGGATTACAGGCGTAAGCCACGGCGCCTGGCTAGTTTTATTAGTCTTTAGATTAAAGACTAATAAAATTTAGATCAAAAATTTTGGTAACCAAAACACAATTCTGAATCACGAGTTATTTGTTTCCTAAATAACATTCAAGGATTACCAATCTCTGTAACTCTGGGTAGTACCAATAACGTCAAAAAGTCAGTGAGGGGTTGGGGGAGTTAAGGCTTATGTAAGTACAAAAAAGCAACTTAAATGTTATCACTCTTCAAAAATACAAAAACTTATTCAGTTGGGATGTTTTCCTTATTTAAAACTTCAATAACTTACTTTAGAACTTAAACTTCTGTGTACTATATCTTCCTGGTAATGAACCATGAATTTTTTCCACATGGGTAAGAGGGACTTTAATTCCATTTGCTAGATTTACCCTGGTACTTGTAGGAAAAATTTTCCTTTCCTTTTAGCACTGGAACTCAAATAAGAATACAGTGTGTGCAACTGTATGTTGCATTTATTTTACCTTTTGATAAATGTACATTTTAGTACCCGAAACTATCATATTAACAACCTAAACTTTTAGAGCCTAAATTAAACTTTATATATACGACCTATTATTAAAAAATAGTTCAGTTTGCCTGTAATCCCAGCACTTTGGGAGGCCGCGGGGGATAGATCACTTCAGGTCAGGAGTTCGAGACCAGCCTGGCCAACATGGTGAAACCCCATCTGTACTAAAAATACAAAAAATTAGCCGGGCGTGAGGCGCGCGGCTGTAATCCCAGCGACTCCGGAGGCTGAGACCGGAGAATCGCTGGAACCCGGGAGGCAGAGGCGGCAGAAAGCCAAGATCGCACCACTGTACTCTAGCCTGAGAGACAGAGGGAGGCTCCGTCTCAAAAAGAAAAAGAAAAAAAAAGTTCAGTTTCACAGTATGGCCTATTAAACCACTGGGAGGTACGGACGGACAATAGGGAAGTTAAGGAGGGACATACAAGATACTTTAAAGAAACAAGTGGCTAGAAACATCCACAAAGGCACTGAGGTAGGCCAAGTAGAAAAATTAGAAAAATATGGAAATAATCTGTGGTTATACTCTGAAACCAACAGGCCTAAGTACTAACTACATGGCTAACTTCTCCCTAATATTTCTCTCTCCAGCAATTTCTCTCTCTACGAATATCTTCAAACTCATTCTCTAATAGTTTCTCGTGTCTCTCACCATACTTCCAAACCCTCAAATTTTCTTTATCATCTTCTCACCACCTTAACAAGAATAACGTGGAAACAATGTATTATCTTTAGCTTTATTTTATACTCCTGTCCTGCTTTTCAAAAGCAGATAATGTGAACATTTTATGTTTTTCTAACAAAAAAAAAAGTAAACTATTATAGTATTTGAATGACTTTTTCCTGGGACAACAACAAAAAATGTATTTGCCCTACTTGACTAAAAGATGGCTATGAACAATCTAGATGAAAACCAGATTTGGAAATTCTAAATAATGCCTAACGTATGATGGGTAGTTGTACATTACAGTACTTGGGAAAATATGAGAAAACAGCACATAATTTGATTTCAAAATTATTATGTTCAGTTCCAAATTTAAAATGTTTTAATCTATGTGGGGTTAGAGACAAGCAGATGAAAATATTTTTTAACAAAAAAAGTATCTAACATAAAATTCAAATTAAAAAACATACCTGAAAAGCCACATTCAAAGATGAGTTAAACACCTTATCAAGTTCACTCTCAAACTAGCTCTAAGTAAGGAGCATGACTTGTAGCTTGATTTCCTAAGGTAAACTTCTCTTAATTGCAGGAAAGAGCACGCTGAAAACCCAGACAGTCACATGGGTTTCCCTCTCTTTCTTATTTCGGCCACAGAAATAAGAAGCATAAGAAAGGCTGAGGCAGCAAATGCTAGAGGGGAGAAAACTATGTGCAGTGTGCAGCATTTCTTCTTAAAGGCACAGAAAATAATTACAACTAGCAGCAGAAGGAAGGAAAATTAACACTTTTTTCACAGGCTATGAGAGAGGTAAAGGTATGCCAACAAACTGAGCAGACCTGAGGAAAATCTTACAAGTTAAAGCTTTTCACAAACAGGCAAGCATGGCTATCTAAACAGCATAAAATGAAAATAAAAGATTTTTCCCATTAATAAAAAGGAAGCCAAGATTGAATTTGGCCGAAATAATTAATCAACAAAGTAAAGGTTAGGAAAGTACTTCCAGATTTGTATTTTGAATCTGTTCTCTATTATACACCTCTGTTTATACTCATCGATTACCTAGTACCTGAATATGACCCAGTTTTAAATCAGTAAAGCAATGTGAACTATAACGGTGTATTGTACTTTCAGTCACTACCTGAGGAGACCTGCCTATTAACCAGCCCAGTATTTCCGTGGTTACAGTCGGGGAATCACCTGCATCAGAATCACATGCGGGCCCTTTTAAAAAGTTGGATTCCTGGTGGACCCCACCCAAGATCTACTTGGGTCTCAAGGAATCTGCATTCTTAACAACCCTCCCCCTTGCAAGTAATTTTAAACACTAAATTTAAGAATCACTGTAGTAGGGTCCAAGCAACTATCAGCCATAACTACCTGAAGATAACGCACAGTGTAGCTAACAGAGTTCCTAGGGAGAAAAAAGCAGCCTCAAAAAGGACACACTTTGCCTTTCTGCATACATTTAGAGATGGATAACAGATGTATCATCTCAAAATCTCCAAATGTTTCCACTCTTTCCCAAAACCTTCCTACCACAACATACTAAGTATGAAATGCATGAGTAAGCCAAGTTAAACATTTCATGAACTTAAACTAAAAAATTAGCTTTGCCTGTCTATAAAAGTTCCTTAAGACAATAAAAGATACAAATATTTTAATCCTTCTCAGCATTCCTTCCTTTCGGTTCCTTCTCAGATTTGCTTTTTAGTTAAAGCTTCAAGACTTTGGGAAATGTTATATCACTACACCAGAATCTACTTTAACATCCATCCAATCCCATGTACAAATTATGTTTAAAAATCTTCTACTGCACAAATTGTGTAACGTTTCCCAGACAGTACACAAAAATTCATCCAGTATCTTTCTTTCTTCAAATCGTGGATTTCAGCGGTGAAGTTGAGGAAGGGGTTATAGTAGTCTTGCTATAGTCTGAATAATAACATTTGAATCTTCACTATATGCCACATAGCAAAAACAAAGAATGTAGACTATTATTTGACCCTCATGGCAATCCCATGAATTAGGCATTATTATAATCCCCATTTTATGGATGAGTTGCCTAAGGTCCAGAGAAGTCCAGAATTAAAGAACTAGTAAGCTAATTCAAACCCAAGCAGCCTAACTCTAGAACCAGCATTTTTAAACACCATACCATCCTGTAATTTGAAGATGCCACCTAGGATTAAGCAATTCACTAAAACCTAGTTGACAATCTGAATCAACTGCAAGCAATTTTATCTTTCTTTGGAGACAGTCTCATTCTGCCATCCAGGCAGGAATGCAGTGGTGCGACCATAGCTCACTGCAGCCCCAACCTCCCCAGCTCAAGTGATCCTCCCACTTCAGCCTCCCGAGTAACTGTGGCTACAGGTGCACACCACCATGCCCAGCTAGTTTTTTTTATTTTTTGTAGAGACAGCATCTCACTATGTTGCCTAGGCAGCCTTGAACTCCTGGGCTCAAGCAGTCCCCTCACCTTGGGCTCCCAATGTAGGCATGAGCCACTGGGCCCAAGCAGGCAACTTTCTAAAAATGCAAATTCACCAGCCAAATAGTAGGTCTCCTGAATCTGACTAGGTGGAGGCTGTGAATTAGAGAATCTAACTTTTGTAAATGTGTTTTTAGGTGATTTTTTAAATTTTTTAAATAAAATGAGATGGGGTCTTGCTATACTGCCCAGGCTGGAACTCCTGGTCTCAAGCGAATCTCCAGTCTCAGCTTCCCAAAGTGCTGGGATTACAGGCATGAGCCACTATATCTGGGCGGTTTCAGGTGATTTTGAAATATACCAAAAGCTAGAAACAACTGCACTAGCTCACCAAAGTGCCACAATGGCAACCTTCATGAAATAACTCATAGTCTGGAAGTTAAAGGCTTAAATTCCAGTTAATTGATTAACTAAAATGTACTTAATACCCCATTCTCTCTCTCTCTCTCTCTCTCTCTCTCTCTCACTACTCCTCCCCATCTCAAAGAAATAATAAGAAAAAAATAGATTTAGAATTTGCTACAGAAAAGAAAAAAGAGCTGCTGCTTTGTGCTACCTTCACATGAAAAAACTAAAAGATCACTGATATTTCTATCATGATTACTCTAAGGCAGAGTTAGACCTTTGCTAAAAGACACATTAAAGGTGGAATTTAGAGTTGAAAGGAATAGTTCTATCTCTAGCATGCCTCTCATTTTACAGAGGGAAAAAAAATCCTGTTTTTTTCAGCTTTCTCTTTAACTCAGTTGACATTTGTAATATTCAATCAGTAAATATTTGTGGTCTACTACTGTGGGTGCAACAGAATTGTGTATTATAATACCACAATATTAGAACTGAAGGGACTCTGAATATCCCAATTTCACAGATGAGGAAACCGAAGTCCAGAAATTTAGTGAATTGCCCAAGGTTAACAGAATTATTTAATGGCAGAAGTTGTTACCTAGGACAAAAACCAAGTTACTTATCTCTCAAGCATTGTATTTTCACTACACCAAAAGCTAAGTTTTTGTTCTTAAATTTATAATTCATAGAAATCAGTGTATTAGCTTCAAGCCCTAGGAATAGATCTATAGTCTAGTTGTAATTCTTACATTTAATTAGCTATCTGACTTTGAACAAATAACCATAAAATAGAAATAAACCCTACCCTTCCTAGGTCACAGCAATATGTAAAGAACAACCACCAAAAAAAAACTGTGGCTGGGCACGATGGCTCACACCTGTGATCCCAGCACTTTGGGAGGCAGAGGTGAGCAGATCACCTGAGCTCAGGAGTTTGACACCAGCCTGGGCAACATGGTGAGACCTCATCTCTATGAAAAAAAAGAAAGGGAAAAAAAACTTGTGAAGAAAATACGTATGAAAATAATTTTGGAAAACTGTGAAATTATGTAGAACTAAGATGTACTTTCATATTTTTTCCTAGAGGCAAACAGGTACTGGTTTTTAAATCTTGTAAATGCTGCCCCTAAACAGTGTGCAGTGAATATCATTGTTCTAGGTTACAAAATGAGTTACCATGCATAATTCATTTCCAATATTAAATTAATACCACCTTGTTAGATAATATCTAGCAAATAAAAGATTATTTGTCAACAGCATCATTGGCTTTCCATGGAGTATTAAGGCATGAATAAGGTGATCATAGAACTTCCTTCCACTTAAAAGATCTAAAAACTTCAAAGTGAAAACTTCCATTTAAAAGTAACAGAACCACTCCCCAAATAAAAACCTTTTAGTCAAAATCTCCTATAAAGTGTGAAGTTTAATTAAGAGCATTGTACAAATGTTAGTTCCTTAGTTGTGACAAATGTACCATAAATATAAGGTGATGTTAACCAAAGGGGAACTGGGGGAGGGGTGTGGAAACTCTTGGTATTACCTTTGCAACTTTTCTACAAATCTAAAACTATTAGAAAATAAAATATTTTAAAAATTAAAAATAAATCTCTGTGGCCATTTTGGATAGTTTAGAGATTTCTATTAAACAAGTAACTCCAAGTTAGTATTATAATAATAGTCTGCTTTGCTTACAACTGTGTAGTAAAAAATGTTAATTTGGCCGGATGCAGTAGCTCATGCCTGTAATCCCAGCACTTTAAGAGGCCAAAGCAGGCAGATCACTTGAGCCCAGGAGTTTGAGACCAGTCTGAGAAACATGGCAAAACTCTGTCTCTACAAAAAATACAAAACAAAATTAGCAGGTCGTAGTGGTGCATGCCTGTAGTCTGAGCTACTTGGGAGGCTGAGCTGAAAGGATCAATTGAGTCCAGGAGTCTGAGGCTGCAGTGAGCCATGCCACCGCAGTCCAGGCCTGGACAAGAGTGAGATCCTGTCTCCAAAAAAAAAGTTACTTTAATTTAGCGCTTCAAAGTAATATGTTTGAGTGCTTAAATTATCTTACTTCCACAAAAATCAGAGTTTCTGAATATGTTCTACCTAATTTGTATTCAGGTTATCACATTTCTAATCTGCCAACTGAATGAAAACCACAAATTCCTAAGGTGAAGTCCTGAACCACTGCTGAATTTCCGGTGCTTTAGTGTAGGTCCCTAGAGTATTGTTTTTTATGGGGTTTTTAAAAGAAAATACTGGATCTGAGATAGGTGAAAGAGTGAGACACAGGGAAAAGATATAAAAGGCTCTTGAGCTAGCTCCCCAATTTAACATAATGGTAGCTTCACAACACTCTAAAATCCTAATAGACTTTTGTGTTTATTCCAGAGCAATTATGTATTATTTTCTGCTTTCCTAAAATTTTAAACATTAATTATAGTACCAAAGTTGATCCTGAACAAAACAGGTTTTAATTCAATTGATTTTTCCTTCATTCTCCTTGTAAATAATTGTATCAGAGTATTAAAAAGCTGCCCGCTTTGGGGAGCTTTTAAAATCTTTTAAAACATCAGAAGTTTCATATTCTGCCTTTTCTTTAGTTATCTGAGAAAGGAACTTTTTTTTGAGAAACTCACGTTGAAACTCGTTTTTATTTTAGTTGACTGGGGGAGGAATACACACTATGGAACAAGTAAGGGAGCCTTATAGGACAGAGATGTTTATGATGGCTCAGTCAGATGGATGAATTATGATTTTGTCAACTAGTGCAAATTCTAGGTGGAAAAAAGGACATGGCTGACTTTGCTGTTTCCGAGAACCTTAAATTAAGAAAAAAATCTTCGGCCGGGCGCGGTGGCTCAAGCCTGTAATCCCAGCACTTTGGGAGGCCGAGACGGGGGATCACGAGGTCAGGAAATCGAGACCATCCTGGCTAACACGGTGAAACCCCGTCTCTACTAAAACATACAAAAAACTAGCCGGGCGAGGCGGCGGACGCCTGTAGTCCCAGCTACGCGGGAGGCTGAGGCAGGAGAATGGCGTGAACCTGGGAGGCGGAGCTTGCAGTGAGCTGAGATCCGGCCACTGCACTCTAGCCTGGGTGACAAAGCGAGACTCCGTCTCAAAAAAAAAAAAAAAGAAAAAGAAAAAAAAAAAATCTTCATCGGTTTTCGTATTAGGGAGAATGGAGACTATCTAGATGTGAAAAGAAATCACTAAAAGAGCCTTTAGTTTTTCCTACTCAACCCAACCGTTGTAAAAAGAGCTCTGTGAAAATAGCTTTTGCCACAATATTTAGGAAGTTTCAGAAGTCAACAACTACAGAGAAAGTCACATGGATCTGTATGTTTCAAAATCTATAAAGTCAATGTTCTTTTCAGATAAAGGGAAAAAAATCTTCAATTATTCCTTCCTTACCTTAGCAATGCCCTTTAAGGTCACCAAATTCATGTAAAGACTTGGTTAAAAAAAAAAAAAAAAAAAAAAATCAGCACTACCAGGAAACACAGATAAGTATCTATATAAAATAACAGTAATTATGCCAATGCAATCCTAACAAGCTTCAAAAGTATTAAATGGCCTAGAAACAAACAAACAAAAAACTACAAAAGAGTCTATGTAAAAAATAAAGCATTCTACTTAGAAAACAAGACATTAATTTACTTGAAGGACCCACAAAAACTTTGGTTTAGAACTTTTTTTAAGAGACACAGTCTCACTCTGTCACCCAGGCTAGAGTGCAGTGACTCAATCATGGCTCACTGCAGCCTTGAACTCCTGGACTCAGGCAATCCTCCTGCTTCAGCCTCCAGAATAGCTGGGACTACAGGCACACGCTACCATGCCCAGCTTAGAACGATTTTTTAAGAAGAGTAACAAATGGATCCTTGAGGAATTAAGGCAAGCTTGGAAAAACAAAAGACTTCAAAAGTGTTCACTCCTCCTCACTGCTGAGTGGTACCCATCTAGCATTTCAACTTTTTTTTTTTTTTGAGACGGAATCTGGGTTTCGCCATGTTGGCCAGGCTGGTCTCAAACTCTTGACCTCAGGTGATCCACCCGCCTCGCCCTCCCAAAGTGTTGGGATTATAGGTGTGAGTCACTGCGCCCAGCTGCATTTCAATTTTTATAGACAGGAAAGGGTCAAGGATCTGAGGGAATGCTACTTCTAGCGCTCTGACAGCCAAGTCACCATAAACACAGAAAGGTGTCCATGTGAAACTGAAGCAAGCCCCCAGTAGGGACTGAAATAGAACTCACCTCATGTGGAAGGGAAGGAAGGTGGAAGATGACCACTAAGGCCCTCCAAATGAAAGCAGTCATATTCTAAATGAATTCCTGTATTTCCTATACGATAGCTACCGAAATAATGTGTCTTAATTTAACATAATACTTTGTAGTAATAGATACATTGCTGTAAAATGTTCCCCCTTCTTACGTAAACGTAAAACT